GAATTGAGTTGTTTTTGTGAATAATAATCAGATTATAATTGTGTCCATGTTTGCGCACAACATTACAATATACGCCAAAATAATTTGCTCTCAACTTATTTGGCGATTAAATCTCACTATTATTAAGCACTCATGCGATGAGAGAATCGCCAAAAACTTTTCCATTAATGGTTTCAGACATGTCTTCACCGGTCAGTTGTGTTACACGAGTGTTCAGGAGATATATATCGGCGGCTCTAAGACAAGCAAATCAATACATTTACACAAATTTCTAGTGCTTTCAAAACACTTCAAACCTCCCGTTGTATTAAAAGTTGCCATTTTGTCATAGAAAAGCTCAAAATTCTTTAAATAACAGTCAAATTCTTCACAGAAATAGTATTTAATAGACATAAGATACCCATGAATTAGATTTATTTTAAATCTGTTAGTAATATAATCTACTGAAATACTAAAATACTGTTATACTGTTATACTGTTATAAAATTTATATATATTGTAGTAATTAAAGTAAAATTAAAATATATTATGGAAATAATGAAATAATTATGAAATTATATAAATCACAATAATATGCAATTATGAAATATTAAGTAATATAATATTAATAATTTGAGAATATTCATTATAAATAGTCTTTTCAAAAGATTATATATTTTAAAATAAATTATTCAAACACTCGTTTAGTCCTATTATATAACAAAATGAGAATAAAATTTAAACAATTATTTTATGAAATTTAAACCATTTATTAAATAATAGATAATGCTAATTATTAATTGTGATAAATGATTAAAAAAGATTTCAAAGTAAAACTTGAAGTAGACTTAAATTTCATGTCAAAACATAATTATTTCATGTCATATACTAATACACAGTGTATGTATGGGTTATGCCGTTATATATAGTGATGACAATTATTGTGAATATTTGAAGAGCTGTGGGAACTGTGGTTAATGTGAGTCTCTTTAATGACGAGAATTACATTGTTTTCATGCATTCATTATGCGATCGTATTTCAGTTGTGATCATATTTTTCACTCGAGAGTCAACTATTTTGCACATTATTTTTATAACATTATCAACATATCCAGCTACAAATGCATTTTTCATATTGTGCATTTCTACGTAAAATGTCATTAGGCTCTAGTCATTTGAGGTTAAAATTAGGGTTTTTAAATGTCATAGTTTGTGATAATTTAAAATTAATTCAAATATTTTAAAATTAGTTTAGTTTATTAAAAGTTAGACAAATCTAGAGAATAATCCTCATTATAATTTCCAAGATATCCAATTCTGGATTAACCATTTTATAGACGATATTCATGAGTTTTGCCGAGGATTAAAATACTACTGTACTAATTATTCTTGATCATGTTTATAAAATAATCATATAAATCATTAATATTAATTTTAAGAAATTAAAGTTATAACAAAACTTAACAATTCTGAAAAAACTAACACTAAAAGGCACTCATAAACAATTAAAATAGGATCACAAATGTGTTTCCAAAATGTTTATTTGTTATTTTGTTATTTGTCTATTTGTAGATATGATACAATAATAAATTAAATCTTAAGTTTTTAAATAAAACCTATATAAAAGCTGACATTATTTTTTCAAACAAAACTGGAGTATACTGTATACAGTGTATACAGTATATTATTTGAATGTCTTATTTGCTTTTATATAACATGTTTACAAACTAGAGGTCTTACTCGTTGTAAAAAACCTTTTTAATTCAAATAATGGCTAAGTTTTAGTTTTCCATTCATTCACACTATCTATCATTCACTTTAGTTTATGGTTTGCTTTTGAGACTTATTTTAGGCCAAAAAAATCACTACAATATTACAAATGGAAATCTCGTTTTTCTATTATTGATCGATTCATATCATTATAATTCATGTGTTATTTTAAGTGCTTTTTATAGAGTTTGTTGCCAGAGATAAACATTGGATTAGATTTACTTTTCAAAATGAGAATTGAATTGAATTTATTTTTATTTTATTTTTACTTAACAGAATTTAGTCTTTAGTTTAAACAAAACAAAAGTTTTATATAAAAAATATTAAGTTTATTGTTATCTTATAAATCAAATCCCTTTACAAATAACAGTGTTTTCCAACAAAAACTATCACTTTTTAAATTCGTAATACAATTGCCATAATAGTAATTAAAAGTTACAAATTAAAACATTTTTGTTTTCTATTTGAAAATAGATTTTTCATCTGGCAAACAATTTAAAATAATTACAAGTTTTTTGTGAAAAATATTTCTTTTGTGTAAAAATCCTTTATTTAATCGGATGAGAGACATTAAAACATTTTTGTTTTCTATTTGAAAATAGATTTTTCATCTGGCAAACAATTTAAAATAATTACAAGTTTTTTGTGAAAAATATTTCTTTTGTGTAAAAATCCTTTATTTAATCGGATGAGAGACATGAAAAATTGTGGCTTAAAATTGTTTGATTAGTTTTCTCAGTGTTTGTGAGCTATTGATAAGAATCTGTGAGTTATTATTTTGGGCCACAGTTTGAGACAAACTTATAAATTATGTTTATAATTAATCTCTGATATCAAAAATTTTCTAAACTACTATTTGTTACGATTATAAGAAATTTCTATTTATTTATTCAACTTATTGTTATTATTAAAACTAAAACACTTAATAAATTGCAAATTCTGTATAATTCTGCATAATGCCTGTCCGCAAGTCTGTCCTATTTTTGTGATTTATTTTAATTAAAGTTTTAGTTTTGAGATTTGAAACCACAGTTGAAAGTAATAGAAAGAGACAGTTATGGTTGACTCGCGTTTTAAAACTTTTACCACAATTAGTGCTGGACTCACATACCCAGACTCCCGGTGCTATTAATCATAGCCAGACATATGAGATATACTCAACAAAATTCTATTGTTTTGTCAGCAAAGAGGTTGTGATTAAATGGGTTGACTCAAGAATTTCACTTTTCTTATTAATCTTTTCTATTTTAAGTTGAGATCATATTTTGGATATGAAGTCAGACTTACTTATTGTGCCACAAATTCATCCAAATAAGTCTTTGTTTAACTAAATGTCAAAGAATTTCCTTTTGACAAGTTATTAATTTAATTAAATATCACTGGGCACATTAATTGGTTATAATTAAATATAAATATTTGTCAAATATTGTATTTAACCAATGATTTAAATTTCTATTTACTATAACCACTGGTTATAATTAAATATGTTTTATAATCAGTGTGTTGCTCTTACTGGTGAGTAAAATCATAAAACTTTTAAAACAAAAACACATATTTTGAAAATTACTTTTAAAACATTTGAACTTTATTTAAAATATCAAATGTGAAACATGTAAATAATATTATGACTAATGTTTTGTAGATGTATTGAATTTAATTATTCATAAAATTAGATTCCGTTGCAATTGAGGGACAGAATTTGATTTTTACGGTTGAGATCCCAATCCCGAGACAATACCACTGAAGAGCAGACTTCGCTTTTCTATACAAATCAATATTCATTGCATTTAGTGTTTTGAAAACTATTAATGTGTTAAATACTACAGTAATGTAAGAATACTTACAATAACTTTACACGTGTTTAAGTCAGTGACACTTTTATCGCATTCGGTTTCATTAACTTCAAGGGTTATGTAATACTTTTCACCAGACACAGTTTGCGATTGAGTTTTCAATACCTTTCCCATTGTGATGGCGTGAGTCGTGTCTATGGCGCTGTGGATGACATTAAATACATAATTGATGGCCTCTTTCACTTCCGGTTGGTTTGGGTCCACATCCCTGACACTGCCGATTGAGTTGGGAGTTGTCTGAGGGAAGGCGTTCAGACCAACAAATAGCAAACTTAATATGATATAAGTTCTCATTTTGTTAATATTTTTGTAAATTAGTTATTAACTAAAGTTACTTGAATATGATTGTCTAAATTCTGCAATTGTTTCGTCTATTTATACTCGAAAAGGTACTTGAGCATCAACATGTCATATCTATACATGTATTTTGAGGTCATAGCGTAGTTTAAAGTTTAAGGTATAGACTCAAATCCCTTTCCTTGATTATTAACTTACTTACACCTGTAATACCTCTCATCATCTATTAAGATATTTAAAGTGCTGTGAAATGAATTATAAGTTGATAACATAATGAGATAAATTGATAATTAATTAAACCGCAAATCAATTAAATGCACACTTGGATCAAAAGTACAGAGTATAAAGTTTTATGATATATACTGTAATGCTTTAAAACAGAATAACCGCTAAATTTTATTTTATTAATACATGATTACTGTTAGTAACAGTCTGTTACTACACTAGTTAAATTAGTAATTACCATAATAATATAAGGGTAACTCAACTTTCCTAGATTATTTAGTGAGATTGTAATTAACTACTAAATCTATGTTTTAACTAAATGTCAAGCAATTGTCACTTAAGCATTCGGTTATTAATTTTATAAAATATCACACTGTTACATTAATTGGTCGCAATTAAATATTATTAAATATTACCAGATACCAAATATTACCAATGATTTTAGTACCTATTTATTTATAATATAACCACTGGTCATAACTAAATTAGCTTTATAATAAATGTGTAATTCCTACTGATGAGTGAAATCACAAAAACTTTCAAAACATAAACATGTATTTTTCAAATTACTTTAGTTTTAAAAAAGTTTTGGACAAAAAATTCTTAACTCAAATCATGTTTACATTCAATATATTTCCCTTCAGACCAGTTAAACCTAAAAAGAAAACGAAAAAATAGTTCATTTCATTATAAAACTCAATAATAAAACTCATATTTCTTTTGCGATATTATATGAAAGGAGGGAAAAGCAAACAAATGACTGAAAGCTCCTAAAAATTTATATCTGTTTGGAAACAACATTCAGATAATTGAATGATTTGAAAAATTTTAAGCTTATTTGTTATATATATCCCTGAGTATATTACTCAGCGTTTGATTTAAATTTTGCAAAATCTAATATTTTATATAATGTTTGACCAATACTTTGAATTCTACGGGCATTCTATACAAATAACTCATTGAAAAAATACTTTATATTTGGAAACCTATCAAATTTCACATTAGATTTTTGTGTGTGTATATGCCATCAATTATAATGTTATGTAATTTGAAATTTTATTTTCAATATAAGATATATTCCATTATTTAATAAATAATATTAAAATAAATGAGATTTTTTTCTCTCCAAACCGTACGTTAGTTTTCATTACAGTATCGGTTGTTATTGTCATGGGATGGATAGGGAGTTAAAGCCAGGCTTATGACAACCAATCAATAAAATTAGTATAAAATTAGTTTGAATATACATTGAAAGCCCTGTTTATCGTAAAAGATTTGGCGACAACCCATTCGCCCCAACAATTCATCCGAAGATATTTCCTTTTGGATGTCTGTCTATATGTCTGATATCTTTTCCTCTCACTTACAAAATAGGAATTAATTTCATTTTCAGTTCACTAAACATTAAAGTAGAGTGAAGTTGTAGTTAAAAAAGTTGGCGAAATATAAACTATTTTTATGGAAACTCTTCAACTCTTCCACATCTGCTGCCTATCACTGAGTCTCTCATTCAAGAGAAGAGTTTGTGATTTGAAGTCAATATTGGAATTGCATTCAAACGCTCCACACATTTACTAAACTCTCTCTCTCTCTCTCTCTCTCTCTCTCTCTCTTGATTAGACTTTAAACTACAATAAAATGTTAGATAATTGTTATGAAGTGTTTTTGATGGTTAGGTACAAAGTATTGCATATATTGTACAGTAGTTGAGTACTGTTGGAACTCTTTGGGACAATCAAATTAAACTATTGAAGAATCCGATAAAATAACAAAATCTACATATGGATCCATGTTAAATAAATAAATATGATATAAATTATAATATGATATATGTATCTAACTAATTTGAAATGTAATGCAAATGAATAACATTTGATTCAAATAAAACATTGAATATAATTTTTTTAAAATAAAATAACAAAATGTGATCATATTGTGAATTGGATTCTTTTGCAGGTATTATTAAAGTACATATATTTTAAAAATTGTTAATTAATATAAATTACTTTGAGGTATTGTCAGCAATTAATTCAAATATAAGACAAATAGAGTCGAATACAGCAAACAATTTGTAAAAATAAAGTCTTTATATATGGGAAACAAAATCACTTATCAAGTAATGGACTAAAAGATCAATGAATTGCATTCAAAGAGATTATAGATGTGATCATTAGTGCTGTTTAAGAGTATATTCATTACAATTCGCATTTAATTAGTATTTCCTTTATAGGGAACAGGACTGAGTCTACAGTCAAGTATTCAAACTACTATTACATTCACGTTAAAGAAGTTGACATTAGAAACAATTTCGATGTCTCTCTAGTTGTAATGTACAGAGTCCTCGATTCACAATTGTATTAATCCCTTAAAAGTTGAATAACATTATGATTAGATTATCTATTATAAGTTTTTCATAGTATTCATTACAAGATCCCAATCCTTGTTTGAAATATCAAAATAAGTCAATTCTGGTGTCAATGATGAGTACCGGCGCTGATAATGAGGACAATCGCTGAAATCATAATGAGTTAACTCGAGACCCGAAACCCAGAGTAAGGGGTCAGCGATAGTGAGACAATCGGCCACTAAATACTTGTTGTCACCGATCAATGCGTCAACACTTTCATATGATTTCGACAGACATTCACTTTCTCTTCACTCGGATTCACATCGTAGAGGATTTTGGGAACTAATAGACAATTATTTTTAAATTTTGATTATAAATCATATAATACTCACCAAAACGTCTCTTTAAGACGATGAGAGAGTAATATCCATATTAAGGAACCGATGAACTAATGTCTCTCTTGGGATCTTTAGGGTAGAGCTGACTGTCCGGTGCATAACGATTGCATAGATAATACCCCGACTCTCCCACTCCCATTCCCATAAGATAAAGCTATTGACATTGATTGTGGGAACGGTATGACAAGGATTTAACTATAAAATAAACAATTATTACAATTTATAATCTATATAATA